CTGCCAGGCCGGAGGCTCTGCTGACACCTTGCTAATCGCTGTGTTTCCTGGACGTAGGGGACAACAAATGCAGCTGTTGGCTTAAAAACCTCACAAGCAAAGCCTTTTTCAAGAATTAAAGCATTATTATCTTAAGATCTGTTTTGCTGTGTTTCTTGGAGACTTTCTCTGCTAAGGGAAATCTCAAGAAAACGCTCATCTTTTCAGTGTTGTCCTTTTTTCATAGCTATAGTGTCAAGCAGTAGGAACAGGCTGACAAGGAAGGTGATTTTTTACCGTGGCTTCCCCGTTGAGATCAGGCAGCGCAGAGGTGTCGGTCTGGCTGCTCTCGCGGGTTAAACCTGCTCCCTTCAGAACTAGGTAGGAGTTCTGCTCATTTTTTCTGCATGTTTTTTGCAGCAAAACTACCTTGTAGTGCCACCAAGTGGACATCTTCACTCGCTAATAAAAGCGTTCTTAAATTTATTTTTATTTCAACTTCTACAGATGTTTATTTCTAAGTGATGCTTTTTCACATGCTGAAGTATTTTCTTCAGAATCAAATAAAATATTTCAAGTGTAACAAATTGTATTAATTGCTTACCTAATGCCTTTTTGAAGAGTGCCATTTGACAGCAGGAGAACCTGATATTCCTCATTATCCATGAGAATAATGCAGACTTCCACGGGTACTTCTCTGCCTTTGTTCATACAGATAACCTGGGGGAAATCAGCATGTGAGGGAGTAGCTGAAAACCTGGTGGTCTGGTACAGCAGGATGGGCAAGCTTGTTAACAGGATCAACATGGAATACTACTTCTGATTTGAAATTAGAGTTTTCCACACTTGCTGTATTAGACCACTCACCAAATCCTGTGCTTACTACAGCCTGACCTCACAATTGGGAAACTACTGTCATGGAGCAAGGTCAAAAGACGAGTCTAGATCATGTAATCTGTTTAGATAGGGATTATTCTGTTTCCTGTACTAACCTAGCATTAAAAAGGAACCTCAGAAGTCAAAATCATAAATCAGTCTGTAACTGTAAATATACATCCCAGAGTCCTGCTGTACACCATTAGTCGGGTGTTCTGAGGGAGCAGTCACGCGTCATTCTTGGAGGTAAAAAAATCCATCTTTGCATTCCGACTTGTTTAAACTACTTGAGCTCTGTTCTGCCAGATCTGACTTCTGATATCCATTCCTTGGGACAGAAATGTTCTACATACAGCACTGTTCTTTTTTTTGATTGTTTCCCCTCCTCCTCTTTGCAGTCGTCCATGACTGTAAGCCAGCAAACATGGGAAGCCAAGACATTATTAGGCCAGTTGCATTATGTAAATTTGCTGTCCCTTCCAGCAGGTTTAGTTTAGAACACTGTTTAAAGCAACCTCAGAGGCAGATTCCTGCACCCTCACCTGTCCTCCTTTGATGTAGTTCAAGCATGTGTCAACATGTGAATTGCCAGTACTGTTGCCAGCAAGACACAACCTGGCGTGGAGTGTCCACAAAGGGTTCCCAGACAGTACAGGTCAGACTGCAAGATAAAAATATCCTCTCCTTCCTCTCCTTTTAAGATACTTCAGTACTTTCTAAGTGATGGTAGGAGTACTAATTTATTTACTGTTTTCCAGATCGCTTTCAACAACAAAGTAATAATCTTGACTACTTTAAGAAACCCAATTGCAATGAGAAATGAAATTCCATTCAGAATGGTAAATATTTCAAGGCAAATGCCTATGAAACCACTTCAAGTATTCTTGAAAATAGAATATCAAAATATTGCTCAAGACTTGCAGCTAAACTAGATCATCTTTAAACAAGGATTCTCATGGAAAACTCTGTTCTCCATCTGTATTTCAGGTTTCATTCCAGAGAAACTGCATCCTTGTTTCTGTATGAATGTTCCAAGTTTATTTCATTTTACATTCTTACTGAGAGAAGTACGAACACCAGCATGGAGACCATGGATTTTGAGGAAGCAGCAGTTTTCTCTGCCCAGAGTGCCCTTACTTCAGGCAGCAAGAAAGAACAACTCTTTCAATCTCCTTGAACTAACTGAGGCAGAATTAAAAGAACAGTTTGTAAGAGGTGATGGCCCAGGAGGTCAAGCTACAAACAAGACAAACAACTGCGTTGTCTTGAAGCACATTCCATCTGGGATTGTAGTAAAGGTAATTATATTTTATTTCATTAAGTCACAAATTGCATCATGTCTTCCATGTGTCCTTTCACAGTAAAGCATAATCACAGTGCAAATGTCATGGAGGAGAAGTTTAAGAAGCAGTTCTGGTTATAAACTTGTGGTCATGGCTGATCTTCCTGGCTCTAACATGCAGTACTATTCTGTGGTTTTCAGTAAAATGTATCTTAATTGTAGCTGCCTCTCAGTGGCAACTCTCATATGCCTGTCCCTCTTGTGAGTTAGTTACAATGTCTTTCTTAACAAGTTGATCATCTTCAGATTCTTTCTAAGCATTACTCTCACCTACTTCTTGTGGATTAATACTTTGCAATTAACCTTTGCTTCCTTATCACAAGGGGAAGACAGTTAAGTTAAACTCAGTAGCAGCTTTCCAAAGTAATATGGAAGCAATCTTGTTTGCTGACAGAATTAAAGATTAATGCAAAACAGGGTCTGACAAGTTACAGTTGCAAATAATTATGAGGCAGCCTCTCCAGAATATGTCATCGGGATAGATACAAAAGTCTCAGCAGTTCTCGGTAGGAGGAGGCTCTTGGCTTGGGGGGGAAGGGGAGTGTCCTTACTGTAATGGCAGGAATATGTAGACTGAAAGGGAAAGCAGAAGAATAAACAGGTTAAATTTCCAGTAAAAATGTCCTATTATATTTCTTCAGTGTCATCAAACAAGATCAGTGGAGCAGAACCGAAAGATAGCCAGAGAAATCTTGCAGGAAAAAGTTGACCTTTTCTACAAAGGTCAAGACAGTGATGTTTTTAAAGAGAAGAAAGCATTAGAGAAGAAGAAGCAGGAGAAAAAAAGAAGAGCAAAGGAAAACCTAGAAAGGAAAAAGCATTTTAAAGAGATGCAACAATTGGATAAGAAGTAAACATGTGAAATACTGATTTGCCCTGGTATGGTAAGGGAAACTTTTGTTATTATACCTAAACACAGTTTTCAGACTAACAGATGATGTAGGGCTTCATAAGCACAACTGAAATACTGAGTAGTGACCTGCTATTGCTGTAAAACTGAAGTGATAAAAGCAGGCATGTATTCCTACTTCTGTCTGCCATCATCTCATTACTCACACTTAACAATCAGTTTTTCTGCCAAGTTCAGAAGATGATAAACCAGTCCTTGTTAAAAAGGAACGATAAACTTTTCAACATCGTTAATGGAGACAAAAAATTAAAAAAAAAAATCAATAATCACCTTCTGCCTGCATGATATCTTATGATATTTTGTAGGAGTTCCAGTACATACAGAGAACAGCCCTCAGAGGTTGTAACTTTCCATTCTTACTCAGGCAGTGCCTCTCCTGACACACATCCTGTATAAGCAGTGCCCAGGTTTAGATGCTGGTTCTGATGGGGTAAACAGACATGCTGATGGAAGAGACACCAGTCACTGGTTGCCTTCTTCAGATCTGCTAGCTGAACAAATGCTCTGTCCTACTCAATTCTGAAGGAAGTTTAAACAGAAGCTTTACAAATCTTCTCCGGTGTGGTGATGAGCATTTGGGGGAAAGGCACTGCTGGAAGTGAGGGTTGGTCAGTCCTGTTCTTCCAGTTCAACGGTAAAATTGGGTCATTACAGAGAAAGAACAACACGTGTTGGAAGCTACCTCCCAAGACAACAGAATCCAATTCATCCCAAGCTGTGAAGTAATTAACTTTGCCTCCTAATACTGTATTTTCTTCAGGTATCCATAGCTCCAGATGTATTAGGTATTGCAGCTATCCCATCTTCCTTAGGATTTAGATTTGATTGCACAACAGTGAATTACAGTCATTTATTATGTTTACACTGTGCTGCAGTTAAGCTTGGGCATTTTGGTGTCTTCACTCATTTTGACAGTATCCCATTTTATGCAAATACTTGCAGCTGCTTTTCCTTTGTTACAGTTATTTTGGAGCCACTAGTGAAGTACACTTTGCTATTTGGATCCTGTTAAGAACTCTTGATTGCTTAACCAGAACTTCTCTCTAACTTTTGGACAGCACCCTCACTGGCTGCCACCAAATTCTTCAACAGGGAAGGGAGAGCCCTTCAAGAACCGAAGCCACAGTATATATTTTGAAAGCAATGGAGACTACTGGAGACTACTAGCAACGATACCACATTCTTAAAAGAGATCGGCTGCATCCAGACTGTGCCATGGATGGAAACTCACCAGCAATGTACAGGCCTGTTCCTTTGTCTGTTCCTGAACTTGAGCCTCCTGCGTGAAGGTTAAATTTTTATCTGTTGAGAGTTCTTGTTCATGGAGTATGAATCCGATTAAAGCGACTGAACATAGTTTTAATACAAACTGTTAATGAAAATAAGCTTTATTACGTCAAGTAATAAATACATACAAAGATGCAAATAACAGTTTTAGTAATTTATCCAGATTTTTTTTTTTTTGCAAACTTTAAACTGAAATCTCCAGCCTTAATGTAGAAATTAGCTTTCCAGGACCTTGTTATTATTTAATAGGTTTCCCTATAACTCATGCACTTTAAATGGACTTCAGAGCACTAACAGTCATGCAAATGTTTATGCAAAACGAACAAAAAAGGAAAAATAAGGAGAAGGTTATCTCTAAGCAGGGTCTATGCTGTATGACAAACTGTGACTTAGCAGACTACTAGGTACACCATGCTATTCTGCATTTATTAAAAAAAATCCTTAGACCTTATGTCAAACTTTGAAAGATTGACAGTTTGGGGTTAAGTTAATATAGTCAAAGGAAAAAAAAAAAAACAGAATGCGACTGTGGCTGGATAAGAAGAGAACTGAAATATAGCCTGGGGGGGAAAGAGCATTCCTCTGCATGCAGTTCAGTTTTCATGTTTTAGAAACATTTTAGGGAGTTTTAACGTCGTTACAAAATGCAAACCCGCAGTAAGTTGAAAAATCCTTGTTTTCTTTCTTAACTATACATTTTTTGTAAGGGCAAAAAAAGAAGGGTAAAACATTTGAAGTAAAGGAATTTGTCTGAATGTTTCAAGAGTCAAAAGGAATAAGTGTTACTTTTTCTTCATTAAGAGATGGAAAATCTTGCAACTGAATTAGTGGGCTAGGATCTTGCATTTCGTTCCGTCTCAGCCAAGCATTCCCGAACTAATCCTCTAGCATGAATAATGCCTGCAAAAGAATTGGACATATTTTAAATAATCTCATTCAGGTCACACTCGCAATGACAGTCCAGAGAAAGGTTTACGTATTTGTGTCCTGAGTTGCCAAGGCTACCACAGCATGCCTCAGAAAAGGGAGAGATGCCTCACTTCCCAAACATCAGCTGCTGCTAAACAAGTTTGCTTTCCTAGACTGGCATTATAATTATTTGAAAAGGGACTAAACCAGGAACCAGCCTGATAAGATGTGTAGGTCTGCACTGACGGGTATATCTTAATGAGCAGTGCAGGCCTATTTAAACTGAAAGGAAAAAAATATTCTTACATAGCTGTGAGTTATTTTGCTACAGTGGAATGAAAAAATGCAGTTATTGGGGGAGTCATTTTAGCAAGCTCTGAAAGTCTTAATACCTTGGGATAATTCTCCTCTGAGAGGATGGATCAAAATCTAAGCCTTCAGAATACTGCTTTAACACAACTTGTGTCTCTTGTAAGAATAAGAAGAAATTCTTATGGTGTGTGTAAAAAGTTATCTCCTAACACTGGCTCAGCTCCCAGTGTAAATCATCACCACTTTACATGCTGCCATATCTACTCTCATCTGATAGACATAATGTGGAATTTTCCACTACCAGTCCTGTTGCTTTGAGTTCCAGCAATCTGGACCTTCATTCTTAATCCTGGAACTAATCTAGATTCATGTTCACAGAGCTGCTGAAAGAACAGAACTTGAGATAGACTCTTAAAATGAGAGATGGACAGATTTTTCTACAACAAATGAGGTTATATTTTACTGACAGGACAAGATAGAAGACGATTTCTCTGCTCAATCGTGCTCTGTAACAAGGTGGAGAAAGGACAATACGGCAATAGATGAGGTTTAATCTCTATTTAGAGATAATGGATTCTGTTTCTAGAAGGCTGCTAGCCCCCATCACAGGAACAGCCTTTACATCCAAGGAGTACTACCTTGGGACTTGTCAGGTGCGAGGCTTTGCAGAGGGTTAAACTGACAAGAGACAAGTAAAGCTGCATCCTGCAGCTGTGGGATGCAGAAACGAGTACTCAGAGTAGTGTGTTAGACCTGGATCTGGTGGCAGGACGCCCAGTTTATGCAGCAGAACTACCCTGAATTATGTAGAACACGGGGAATTTGGCCAGTTTTAGAGGTCAGTAGCCTCTCTGCTTAGGAGCGGGTGGAGCTGGGGACAGGGACTTTATTCAGGAATAACCTCCACATGGCCATGGAGGCTGCAGTCACGTGGCTATGCTCAGTCACTTCTGCTCTCACACTTGCACATGCTCTTTCAGCCATTAGACTCCCAAAATGGACAGAAAGGTATGTTTGTGACCAAAAGATGGCAGCAAAAAGTACTTATTTAGGATTTTTTGCAACATTGACAAGTCACAGTAGCATCACTGAATCTTAAACCTACATTAGCCAACGAACTAAATACTCACTGCAAGAAGCAGCAGAACAACTTTTCCTCACCGAACGGAACCACTCAGGTTCAGAGAGCATCTGCATCTTTTCCGGTCTCCCTCAAGTTGTCCCCATTATAGCCTTTTGCCATTCATGATCTATTAATACTGACTCAGGCAATGCAATAAAGAGAGACTCCAGCAACATTGATTTTAGCTGGGCTAGGTTCCACTTACCACTCATCAGCAGACTTTATTGCATCCCTTCCCAGAACAGCTACTAGTCATTTTATTGCATGTCATGGCAGATATATTACTCTCCCATAATGGTTGAGCCTTAAATAAAGCTTTGTAGTCTTGGGTAAATGTAAGGGGGATTTGCAAGGTGGTGAAGTTCGTCTGTCACAATAACATTCCCATTCAGGGTTGAATGCATGAGCCAGACTCAGCACCAGGACCAAGGAAAGGGAGGAAAAGGTAGCTACGTTATACTGGCAATGGACAGAACTGCCAGCACAACTGCTGTCGATGGCCTTTCAGGGTCATTTCAGGAGCTGGAGCAGTGGAATGTCCCACTGCTCCTTCAGAAATATCCCTCGCACGTCCCCTGCAGAGGACAATGTCAAGCTGATGTCAGCAGTGGGGCATGCAGGGGTTTCTTTTACACTGCAAGGAAAGGGCATTTATTACCCCTTTTAGCTGACAAAGCAAAGCTGCAGAGACCTCATCAGCCAGGCCTAAAAGCTCCTATGTCCCTTCCTAGTGGACTCTTAATGACATGCACTTGACAACAGGTAATGGAGCCCAGGCAGTCCAGCATTCCACAGAGGGGAGGAACGTGGATGTTTGACATCTCAGTCTGAACAGCCTTCACTGACAACCTTTTTTTTTTTTTTTTTGCTCTTCTCTCCACCAGCCTTACTGTGGGTTACCACAAGGTGGTATTTCTTTATTTCTTTAGGCAAAATGCACTTTGCTAAAGACTCTTGGGTCAAGTAGATGGGTGATGTATATTCAAAAAAGTAAACAATGATGGGTTGTATATTTTGGAGACTGGGAAGAAAAGGGAATCAAAGGGGCGAGTAAGTCATCAGGAACCTAGAAGCACACATCCATCAGACACCTTAAGGGTTCTAAAATAACGTTTGAATTAACTGAAACTCCCCTTGTGCACACGAAACACATTTGGTCACTGGTTTCTCTATGAAATACAGCACGAATAGAGTATCCCAAGGTTTCAGTTGGTTGTGAATACACCTCGTTTAATGATGAGCTCAAGGCAGCTGTCTCCTTTCAAAGGGAACAGTTGTCATGAAGCTGTATACAAGTAGTCAGTGCACAAAGTGTATGTGACTTTTTTTTTTTTTAACAAATTTAAACATTACCTCTTTTTAGCCTCTCCATCGCACTTTTACTCCCAGCGTAGGTGGGTCTAATCTCTTTTCCTAATTCTTCTATAATAGCTAGAAGTTCTGCATATTTACTTTGCGGTACTTGACTGCTGCTGGTACCCTGTAGTTGAAAGTAGATTAATCTCAATTAAATACTGCTAGAAACAAAACAATTACAACAAACAACAACTGGAAATTCATGGAAGACCAGAAATAGCCCTGGAAGCCACTTTTTGGGTTTCAAAAAAATATAATTTCAGGTTTATTATACAAACGTTTTTCTTTTTGAGGTTGCTGCTACAGTTGAACAGAATGCTACGTGCCCTTCAAAAATCTGGATCAACTGGGAGGATGCAGCTGCAAGACTGGGACATTAGGTGAAACGGAAGTTAAAACAGTCCTGCAAGAACAGCAAACTAAGAACTGCTTATTTAACTCTGTTTCTGCTTTTTCAATGTTTATGTGTGTATTTTGTGGAGAAGCTAGCTAGGCAGGGAGAGTAAAGCAGATACAACAAAACTGCCCATATGACAAGGGAAATCCTGTTAGCAAGTTAAATACATTTCACAGAAAGTTTACCGCTGGATTCCTGAAGCAGTCCATAGGACTGTCTGTGACACATTTCATGAGACTAAATTTTAGAGTATAATTTTGCCAAAGAAAAATGGTATAGAAATATTCATTTTTTAACAAATAGTTTTAAAATATGTTAGAGCCCTTGCTATCAGAACATAAGATGTTTCACTGTGACTCAGATGGGATGGGACTAACAGTTAATTAGTAACCAAGCTCACTCAGAACTCTGCTTAGCCTAATTTGATCCCGAGACATGTGCGATGAATCAGTCTGCCATTTGGGTTTGATTTCAAATCTTCGTGGGAGGGAGGAACACCTCAGATTACAGGCCACAATCCATGCTACTATGCAAACACAGGGTCAGTGATCTGATTAAAGAAAAACAACAAGCAGAACTGTACCTGCATCCCTTGTGTATAGCCTAGAGATGGGGGTCCGTAGTCATTTATAAGCTGTCTGTATTGCGCAGATGTTGCCATACTTGTGGAGGGAGAGTGAACACTCCCAGCTGTAGACAGAAAGAAAGAAAAAAGAATCTGTTATTATCTAAAGATTAATTAGTCTGTTACATTGGGACACACTGTAGATCCCATTTTCCTAATGCTGTGACCTCCCACCTTTGTCTCAGCCCACTAATGCCATTTCAGAGTCACACTATTTGCTAGGAAGAAAATGGTTAAATTAACACTTCTCTGACGTTTGCTGTACATTTTGAAAATAGCACGGCCTGCAACATTATCAGTGCAAATTGTTTGCCTAAAAGTGAAACACAGTGTAGCATGACAGGTTGTTCAGCCTAGACAAACTGTAAATATTAAGGAGCCCTATTTTTGCATATATACATTCCACACAGATGACTCTAATGTACTGTGCTATTTTTACTTTTTCAGTGCAAGTTATCTGAAAGTAATTTTGCAACTCAAAGTGTCATCACGTGGTCAACGCCAAGTTACCCTCAGTACTATTTTCAGCCAATGCCAAAACTATTCATAGGGAACAGCCAGTTGAGGTACATCAGGTCTGCTGCTCGTTGTATGACATCAGAGGCAAAGAGAGCTACCATTATTCCTCTTTGTGTAATATCAAACGTTTTTAGCCACTCATATTGTGCTACATAAGTAAACCAAAGGAAAAATAACATCTCTTTGGGTTATGGTTGTTTTTTCTAAAGTTATGAAAGATTATATTCAGACCTACAGGGTTTTGAGACAGCTAAGAGTTACAGAAACAGACTTTAATGTGATCCTTGCCAATCTGCTCCAGAAATGAGCAATCAAAACACTTCTTCCCCTACCTCTGCAATGGTAAGAATTTGGGTTTGAAAAACAACTTTAAGATTTTTCTTTGGGGCCTTAATTATGCTGCCCATTTCACAACAGTTTTTGAGGACCTGCTGGTTATGGAGTGCAGGATCAGGACTAAGGGAGCATTGCACCATTCAACTTGTTCACTCTCGCAGCTGAAGCGCCCCTGCATCCCCTGATGCTGCTCTTTGCCTGTGGACACAGACACAGACTGCCTGCTGTCTGAAAAAATCTTCCCCCTTGCAAACTCCTCTGCTGAAAATTCCCAACTGTCTTTCACATGAGGAACAGATCTCATTTACCAGCCTTCATTTAAATCTAAATTAAACTGATGCTAAAGTCACTGGGGCTTAGAACTATGTAAATCTCTAGGTTTGTTTTAAAGTTGTGAGTGATCTCCATCGTATTTTCCCCTCACTACAAAAAAGAAAGAGCCAGCAGTTACACTGTAAAAAGCACTGCTGAACACAGTGGAACAGTCTTGTCCTCAGCTGGGAAGTCTTTTTCCACTTCAGAATTCATCAGAGGGTATCACTGTGGTGTTGTCTTCTTTGCAAGAAGAGAGTGTGTTCTTAATTTTGGCTAGTTAACCGGATATGAAATCCTAAAAAGGGCAAATTAGGCTGCTCACTAGGTCACCTTAAAACAGCAAGGTTTCTCTTTGTCTTTAACTAAGCTGCTAAATGTTATGGCATTCCAATCTGCATTTCCATTGCTAAGGTTTCACATGGAGCTAATTATCACATTTTGCTAAATCATAGTAAAACCCCAAAAATTAAACAACACACCCACAGAGTACAGCACTGTGAAGGAACACCACAGTTGTCAGCTTTTCTGTCAATGAGTTCTTTACATTATCAGCTGAAAAAAAACATGCACAACTGTAAGATTTCTGTATGCACAACTCAGTCAGTATTTCAAGTCCAGATGACTGAATTTCAACAGCTATCAAACATGACACAACAGCAAACTGCGTCTTTCCTCCAAGGACTTCAAAATGCTTCAAAAACATTAATGAGCCCCTTGTGCTGCAAGGTAAGAAGGTTTAATTACCTCAATTAAGCAGAGAAAGACTTAAACGATTTTCCCTCATCTACAATAAAACAAAAGACCTATCCTGCAAAGACTTGTTCCTGCACTGCTATTGCAAGCAGTCACATACAAGACCTGGGAGCTCCAAACTGGTTCAGATTGAGGCCAGGACTCCAATGACCAGGCTCAGGAATCCTGCTCTGCTCACTGAGCAAACCTTAGCTGCAGCCCATGCAAAACAAAAAACAATTTATCGCCACCATACTGGTTAATGATAATACAGTACAGATAATTTTGTGATTGTTTCAGATTATGTTGATTTAAGCAATGAGACGTGCTTGGTCAGGATGAAACGACACAGCAGGTTATGTCTAGATAAGAAGGAAACTCTACTAGAAATGTGATGCGCCAAGACAAAGCAGCGACTGCTGACCAAGAAAGTTTCACAGATGTGAGAGCCTGCAACATACAGCGTTGCAGCGGGCAGTAGTTGGTCTCAGCATGGGAGCTCGAATCCAGCAGTGACTCAGTCAACACCCAACGACAAAAAGAAACAAGAACTTTCAGTAGGCAACTATGAGTAAGAACCTGCCGCCGGAGTTGGAGCATCGCTCCTGATCTGAATTAGCTGTCAGCTCAGTGGAGCGCGGTATTGTCTCCTGTACGCAGGACGTATGCAGAGCTGTGCTGCAGACACTAGAGGCCATTGCTGAGTACGGCGTGCCCTGCCAAATGACAGATCGTGGTAACCATGGTGAGTTTACCCGTTTCTTTGCAGTCTGCATCAAAAATGTAATAAGACATAATGCCATGCGCCGACCACTTTATCAGCAGCAGCAGCAGGCCCGGAGAACAAAGAAAAGGATTTGACTTGGCCGTGGTAGCAGCCTCCATACACACATGTCAGAAGTTGTGCCAGTCAAACTCAGCTGGAGGGGGAAAAAAATGAAAAATACTTCATTTCACCTCAATTTAAGATGATGCAATCATGAAAATGAAATTAATTGTGGGGATATTAGTATCTCGCAGGGTAACGGACCTTGAGCTTTCTGACCTATCACTTTGTATGTTAATCTCCAGGCGAAGCCCTGGGTCTTGGATGACTATTACTCAATTAACCCAAAATACATTTGCGTATCTGAACATCCTGTATATCTCAGATTTAAAAAAAAAAAAAAAAAAAAAAAAAAAAAAAAAATCACCAGCTATTGCTATTATAGTTAGCAAGAAAAATTAGTCCAGCAAGTCTGACAGTCAATACTCCGTCAAAAATCAGTGTGATGATTAGGTATTCACTAGAGAGAAAAAAAGGAGGGGGGGAATCTAAATTGAGGTTTGCTCTCTCACGTTAAAATGACAATGGAGACAAGACAGTTAAGAACTGACAGAATCCAAAAGGGAGTGTGCTTGGTACTGAATTTAAGTGACACCCTGTAGCACATCCCAAGTGGTCTTACAGCTTGCTGCTGTTCAAAACCTAAATTAATATACACCCTTTCCTCCCTCCACTTCCCTAATTAAATGTACACAAAATATACCTATTTATTCTTGTGCTAATGTCTTTTATTTCTGTATTCAAACAGAAGACTGCCAGAAGCTTTTTTCTCCACAAAAATATAGTGATTTTCTTGTTAATCAATATTAATCTTTATTAACGGGGGGGGGGGG